TGAAATGTCGAATTCCGATACCTCAGGAAGAAATTGATTTAGATAGAATTTTTGTATTGGGTGTACTATTTCCTAATTATAGGAATAAATTTTCATTATTTTTTAGACAATTACACATTAAATAAATTGGATTGCACTGTATAAATACTTGGAACTTGGAATAATTAAGTTATAAGCTTCAAATAATAGACAAAACCATGGAATCCATTTCGTTTGGATTAAGTCGGGTTCAATTCAGTAGTGAAGCGGTAAAACGATTTAAGTCGACTTATCTCCCAGTTGAGTTTTTGAGAAATATTTCCGAATCTAAGGGAGATGGCGAAATTTTCGTGATTACATTTATTGTAGCTCTCAATCGGCTCTACAAAAAACGTTATAACAAAAATTTCGCTATCTCCCTTAGATTCCGAGATATCCATTGAAAACTGGTCAATGGTCAAAATTGACTTGTACCGTTTTAACACTTCACTACTGAATTGTTCTCGTACTGAATTGTTCTTCGTTCCGGTTTTATCAAGTGGATGTTATTGAATATTGGATATCTTTGTCCAATAAACACTTATAATTTCCATGAAACAAATGATAATTTCAAGAGGAAACTACAATTTTCTTGTAAAAAACTGTGTTATTGGCAGAACTAAATAATTTCAAGGAGACAATTTGTTTTAGGGAAAAAATATTCTTTCCTCATTAATGTATTCTTTCTGCGGCATAAATCTATAAGTTCTCTCAGATCAAATGATTGTCGTACAATAGATTATATTCTTTTCTTTGAACAGTTGATCTCAACAAAATTTTAATTTTCCTGAAAGATATTAAATTTAAAGTTTTTCGGGCGAGCTAATTTATTCTCTCCATGTGAAAAAATGAAAGAAAACTCCCGAAAAAATTGTCTCCAATTCCTCCACCTCTATTTTCACAGGCAAAAACACATGTCGATGAGAAACAAAAACACCCGAGAATTGAAAATATTTAGTTTCAAAGAGAGTAGATATTAAATGTGCTCTCTCGGTGTGACAAAACGAAACAATTGAACTGGAAACGAGTTTAGAGAGGTTTGCCAGAGGATGAGGGCCTCGAGTGAGAAGAGGTATAGGCAGCGTAAAGCGCCCCCACGGGACGCCCTCGTGTGGCTAAATTGGTGGCAGTATATTACCGCTTGGGAGTCCGCATTTAATTTGAATATAATCGTGAAAGGAGATCTCAGACCAAGTGAGTGAGAGAGTTCCACCTAGTGCTTGAGTTTACTCCTAAGTATACAACTACGTACGGCATTGAGTATATTTATATGCATGTGTATTTGGTGGGGGTGTTGTTACACTTTGGTAAATGCGTGACGGTGACGCGAACGGAAGTCACCCGGAGGGACACCGGATGCAGAATGGCCGACGGTCAGCCCCCAGCGCGCCTGAACTCCTCAAGTTTACATTGTTTTGCAAAAATAGCAGAGGAAAAAAGTTGCACTAAGGCTGCTTTTAATCCTGACATTTAAATACTCGAAATTCATTCGCATTATTATTTTTGGTCAGTTTTCAATAAATATCTCGGAATCTAAGACCGCTAGCAAAATTTTTATTAGAACCTTTTTTGTAGAGAAAATTGGGAGCAACAAAAAAGGTTTATACGAAAAGTCCACTATCTCCCTTTGATTCGGAGATATTCCTCGAAAACTCAGCTGACTTATCTCAATCGCATCATTTGACTGGGAGAAATTTAACGTTCAAAGCGGCCGGTTTCACCCCACTCTCCACTCTGATAATCATATATTTATTGCAACATTCATAAATGTTTTACAAATTTTAGAAAACAACACGAACGAAGAAATTTCATAGAAAAACCTATCGACTTCGTTAGAAAATTCTATTGAATTTTCATTGAACTGTTCTATTAGTTTTTGACGGATTCTATTGAAATGTCCAATAGAAAATATTCAGTAGAAAAAGTCAATAGAATTCAATTTTTCTATATAACTTATTCTATTCAGATATTGTCTATAGATTTTCCTCGGCTCAAATTTTCTAAGTTTTTTTGTTTGATTTTCTTGATGAGAAGAAAAGAAAAATAGAATGAAAAAAACACGGAAAATTTGAGTCGAGCAAATTCTATAGAAAATATATGAAAAGAATAAGTTATATAGAAAAATCGAATTCTGTTGACTTTTTCTATTGAATGTTTTCTATTGAACATGTCAATAGAATCAGCCAAAAACTAATAGAAAGTTTAATAGAAATTCAATAGAATTTTCTAAAGAATTCGATAGGTTTTTCTATTAAATTTCTTCGTACGTGAATTTTTGTATATTTTTTTGTCAGGAGGACGTGAAACCCTTACACTTTATGCTCCCACCGAAAGTCGTTGACTTTAATTTCTTTTCCGTTTCTTTTCATACTTTGTTACCATTTTTACGTTGTATGTTTTCCCATTGCACGGAAGCCCCACTAATTTTTCCCCATAAAAGCACCCGAGATGAAGAACAAAAAAAGTCGACGAGAAAAAGGATAACTCCACAAGAAGTGCGTTACTATTGCAACCTACGGTTTTTTGTAAGTGTATGATTAAACAACTTCAGGTGTTTTATGCTCGAGCTTCAAGAGCCTTCGATCGCGTGACCCCAACGGCCATATCCGTTTCCTGGCTGTGGGCAACCCTCATAGCCGGTCAACCACCACTTTTACCTCTTGGGGATGAAGAAAGCCCTTGAAGCCCAATGGGCTCGAAAAATGGATAACGATCTTAACGAAAAGAAATGCACCTTCGACGTTTCGGTTAGCTAAGGCCTGTACTTTGTATCCATACAATCTTTTTTGCATGAAGTTTCAGGCGATTTAATTATCACGTGCCACTGGGAGGCTCTTAATTTATGCGAAAGGTCACGAAAATGTCGTGAACGTGACATTAAAATGTCAGAGTTTACGGAAAGACTAATGTTTTAGCGGTGAGAATGGAAAATTCAGGTGAGATTTTATTTTTCGTTTTACGCAGAGAAAAAAAAATTCGTTTTCGGGGACAAGTCACTGATTTTCAGGAATTCATCCCTAGTTATTAGAGATTCACGAACGGGGAAGTAAAATTTTGATTTTTAGGAATATGTCACCCATTTCTAGAGACATGTCAGTGATTTTCAGGAATTTATTCCGAATTATTAGGGGTTTGCGATTGTGGAATTCAGTGAGTGCAAAATTCTGAAATTCTGTGATTCCGGAATTCTGTGATTTAGTCGCCAATTTTCACGGACTCATCTATAATTTTTGGCGATCAAGCATTAAATTTCAGTGATAAAAATCATTAATGATCAAGGTCATTATAGTTATTGTTCAGTATCAGTAATACTTGATGATCGATTCCTGAAAATCAGTGACATGTTCGTGAAAATGAGGCAAATGTTCCTGGAAATGAAAAAAAAATTCTCTGAGTAACAATTCCACATTTTGCTCCACCTGACAACTGGCAACACTTCAACTTATCTCACTCCTCCATTTCCCTCTCGAACTCAGACATTCGTATAATGTGTGCTACTCAAGATCTCGCATCTCGAGCCCGACTATATCTGGCAAGTATAATTGACGGACGGGCGTTGAGGCGAAAGTCAGAGTTTCACTCCCCCAACTGTTGGCAACTTGGGTATAAGAGAGTTGAATGAGTTACACGTCAGATGCAAATCATCTTTCCTAATTTAACGGAAAACATTGCGAGTAATTCTAGTGAGAATATTTGATATCAAGGGGAATAAATTAATCTTCTAACCTCAAGCAAAGCATCGCCAACCTATTCTGCCATTGTTCTCTTATGATTGCTTTATTATTCTTGTACACAGAAATGAAGTTTCTAGTTGAAAAAAATCGGAATTGGAGGGAAACTCCGGATTACACTACAGTGTTGATAATTTTTGGCTGGAATTCCAGGTCTATTTTTTAAAAATAATTTAATCTGCGATAGGTTTACTGGAAATTGTAAGGAATTTCGTCACTGGAAATTCACAATTCAGTGAACAGATCAATGGAAATTATATTCCTCATCAATTATTTCATGAAAATTGTAAACATATCCTTAAATTTGCAATTCTTGTCTTTCGGCTACTGAAAAGATTGGAATTCCATTGCATTTTTAATTAAATTCGACATGCCATGAGTTTTCTCCCCTAAATAGAATTCAATAAGTGCAAATATAAATAATTAATAATAATTTGAAAGTCCAAATATCGTCTTAAAAATGAATTCTCACCTGTTCATAAAATTTACACTTTCCAACAGTGAAAGAGAATTTCAGAAATTCTGTATCAACTGTACTTAAACAAATTGTGTCTTATTCATTTCAAGACAATCTTATTTCTGAAATTCAGCACATTTGAGTTATTGAATTGACATTGTCTTCGGAAAGTATCTTCACACTGATAGAGAATTACTCTTGAAATTTCAAGTGAAAAAGCTTGGAATTTTTAACAACGACAAAGTTACATGAAATTTCTGTATATTTCTTCATTGACGAGTCAGTTAATTTCTTGGATATTCGAGTAGTTCTCGATTTTCAGGTCCACACGGCGCTGAAAAACCTTGAAAATTTGGAAAATTCAGGCAACATTTCTTCTGAATTCTCAATCTATTGAAAATTGAATTGTATGCGATGTTCAATTTTTACAATGAGTTTGGAAATTCAAGCTTTCATTGAAAAATCAATGACTGTTTAACATGAAAAATCCAATTTTCTTGAATTTTCAAGACGAATAAGAAATTTAGTGAACATTTTCATTTGAAATTGAACTCAACCTCCCAACATCCAAAATTCAGATGCCGCTGTGACTGAAATTTCAAAAAATGTCTAACAGTGCATTATGAAAATGTTAATGATCGTCTGCTCTAAAAGCCTCACTTTCCCTGAATTCCAAAACGAATACGAAATTTCACAGACGACTTCATGGCAAATTGAATCCAAAATGGCAGAATTTCAAATCCAAACACCTGTTTCTCAAATTAATAAAAATTCCTCATCTCCGTGCACCCTACCTGTGATTACACTGTTGACAAGCGAAGCACTCGAGATGATAGACATTGGCCCTAGCCCTCATGACCATTTCAAACGCCGGAATAACTTTGGAGCAAGCAGCGCAATATCCAGTGTTGCCGAACAATCTGCAAAAACATTCAATTTCATTTGCTGAGACAACAATAACCAATAAACTGGCACACACGAGGGGATGACAATGCCCTAATGTTCTCTTCAAATATTGGGGCTATTAATAAAGGCCACAGCTCCAATAGTCCCCAACTCACAATGCCACCTGCGTGTATTCCCTCGGGAGTTTCGTAATCTCAACACACTTTATTTACTCACCAACCGGTGGTATTCCGTTCACTTCCATTTTCATGCAGAAATACCATTCATAAAACACCCTACATACTCGCATTATATCATTCACATTGGTAGAGCAAATCATCTCGGAGTTTGCGTTGGCATTCAATAAAGCAAACTCGTCTGTTAAATTCGATTTGGCGATATCATATTTGCGGGTTATTGGATGTGTTTTTTTTGTCTCGTACGAGTTTATTGGTTTTTACTGACTCACCTGAGGTAATCGCGCTTACAGAGGATCAGATTGGCTTTTGTGTAGAGGGTTGAGCCTACTTCACCGAGTCTGCAGTCGCAGCAGCCGCATTTCAAGCAGTCTTCGTGCCAGAACATGTCTAGGGCTTTCAGGAGGTATCTGGTGAAGCGGAAAATGTCGTTATTCATTGGAACATGATTATTCGGAGCGGTTTGGTGAGTTATTTTTTTGAGGAGGTTGTGCTTCGAATTTGATTGCAGCAAATTGGATACACAATGTTTTGCGGTGAATTGGAAGTAAAATTATTTCGATAATTGGAATTTAGTTCAATTATTCTATGAAAATTAAGAAGAATTAAAGAGCTTCAGGAAAATATCTTCAAGTATTTGAAAATTTAATTTAGTAAATTGTTACTGAATATTAATTTTTTGATTGATTATTCCCTTCGGCTGTATTTCCCAGTGGACTGGGAGGAGAATTATTTCCAGAATTTTGGATAATTCTCAATTTGTACTCTAGTTGTCATGGACCCAAATATCAGGGAAAGTATCCCAGGCAATACGACAAAGTCTAAGGACGTCATGTAGAATATATTTTGAGACACATTTATTTATCATAATTCAGTAGCGAAGTGGTAAAAGGAGATGAGTCAATTTTGACTATTGACCAGTTTTCAATCAATATCTCAAAATCTAAGGGAGATAGAAAAATTTTTGTTATAACCTTTTTTGTGGAGCCGATTGAATGCTACAACAAATGTAATTACAAAAATTGCGCTATCTCCCTTAGATTCGGAAATATTTCTCAACAATTCAACTGGGGGATAAGGCGACTTATCTCCGTTTACCACTTCACTACTGAATTGTATTTTCACTTCCTCGTACCCAAATGTGAAGCAATAGGTCTAATTTCCCCATTTCTAATTGTCTTTTACACTGAAAACATGAACTTTTGAATGAAGATTTCCGCCAAAACGTCAAATATTGCATTCCATAGGTTGAAATTCGGACGGGAAAAATCATTCATATAAAAATAATCCACTGAAGACGATAGGTTCTTTATTCTGAGTAATTTTCGGCCATCAGGAATTTCTATTCTGGATTTAACGAATTCTTACGGATATACTCCACCGAGTTTCTTTTTTGATGTATCCTCATGGAATTAAATTATTCCCATCAAGTCGATTTTACATTTCTAAATTCGAAAACGACGGTTTCCACAGTTTTGTGAATAATTAAATGCAGTTGATATATAAATTAAAATGAATTCAACTTGGTGATTTGATTAAATCCTCAGCCCTCGAATAGATATTCTAAGATTCAATTTTTACCTCTCTGTAATTGGTTTTCCACATCCTGCGCACTCCTGTTGAGGAGCCCCATTTTTGCTCGGCTCCGTCTTGCTCACGTCCATCGTCATCTCGCGGTACCTGATGAATAAGTCAGTCGATTAATTATTAGAGAAATGAATTACTTGAAGGGGAGGATAATCGGAAATTCTCGGGCGGGCTTCGCCAATTGTATTAATAGTCATTGGATGGAAAATGAGGGGCGAATAAATCTGGAATGCTGATCTGTCTCAACTGCTAGCGTCAGAATGTGTCTGAATATTGCTTTTATCAAGTTTCAACGGCAGCTGCCGGTATCCGTGGCTTTCTCAGTTTGTCTATGAGTAATTAGAGTTAAGGGGGTAGGGACACTGAGAATTTAACGGCGGTTTAGTGCCATCTGTGTCCGAGTGCGGGGGCGTTCTGTGGTGTGGTCAGAGAGGAGTTTAGAATCGAATTAGTTTTGACCCGTACCATATTCGGATGTGTGGGAGTTTGGGCGAATGGGGTAAACAAAGTCGGGTGCAACTCGATTTTCAGTACTTTTTCACTCGATATCGGGGAAAAAGTGCGACAAAAATAGCGCATTTTTCGCCTTTTGACCGGAAACATTTACTAATCGTGAGTGGAATTTGTGACAAATCTGGAAAATTTATCCCTGCATTTCATCAAAAATTATTCCAGTGAACGTGAATATTTGCTCCGTATTACGTATAATTTTTCTGGAACGCGTTCGGAAAAATTTAATTTTTTTTATCGATCGACTCGTAAAATACCCGCCTCAAACCGGTATTTTTTCATTGAATTACGTCTGCCACAATTTTCTAGGTAATTTTTATCCAACTTTTCTCTTCGTGTAGATTTTTTTGAGAAAAAATATGCGAATTCATGCGAATCAATAGTTTAATTCAACAAAAAATTTGATTCAAACGTCTGGGTAACGCGTCTGCTGCTCTAACCACTGCATTCACTATTTAAATTGTCACCGTATTGTGTTTGAATTTCAATGTCTCAGATTTATTCCTGTAGGGGAGGTTGGGGTAAAACGGACACTTTTGACTTTTTTTCAAATGTTAATGAAGGGGTGAAATGTTGATGAAATTTAATAATTTTTCTTTCAATACAAAGAACAATTCCTTCCCTTTGTGACGAGGCTAAACTGAGCTCAATTGATAAATTTGTTTCTGAGTTCTGAATAATTTAAAAAAAGTCTCAAGTGTCCATTTTATCCCACCCTCCCCTCCTGTTAAAGAAATTTATCTGAATTTTCCGAAAAAATATCTTGAATTTGATTCAAGGGCGAAAATTCTCAGAAAATTCAAGTAAAGTCCCAATTGTTAGCGGCAGGAAGACCAAAATTCAACAATTTACATGAATTTTCAAGTAAAAATGAATATTTAGTGCCAAATTCCCTCGAATTTTCTGGGAAATCATTTAAAATTCTTGTAATTCCAGGAATTTTAAAGAAATTGCCTGAAAATTCAAAAAAAATCTGAAATTCAAGGAGAGATTTCTCTGATTTTTCCTGAATTTTTATCCCTTTTCCCGCAAATAATTAAACTTCAGTTTACAAATTTCAACTACAAAGTTCCTTGAAATTTCACTGGAAATGTTATTTATTAGAAATTTTCAATACTGTCACTGGAAACTTCAGTAGAAAATGTTTAACATTTGCATCTCTCCCTTTTTATTGAATTCTACATGAGGTGAAATTGTTTTTAATATTAATCATTTACGTTGAATAATTCATGTCGAAAATTGAAAACATGTACTTCCTGAGAATTTCAACGGACAATAGACCAGATTTTAGTGCTTTTAGATTTAGTTCTGTTTGCGATTCCTCCAACACTGTAGTGTGGCCACTGAACTTTGATTATGAGCAAAGTTGTCGTTTTATTGCACGAACATCCTGGACAATATTAACCAGTGTTTAATATCTTCCTGAAACCCAAGTTTCGTGCAAACAAATCTACCCGAAGCCCTTTGATCCGGATATTAAACTCAGACCTGCATTTATTTCAATTCATATAGGAATGACGGCACGAAAATACGCAAATTCCAGGTGAAAAAAAGGGTCAGTCGGCAATAACTTCAGACGCGATGTGGATTTTAAACGAGTCCATCTCGGATACTGAAGACTCAACCGTCGGAATCTGACCGCAGGAATTCCTGCGGGCAGTCCTCCGCGGCGTACGAGAACCCTCTCTCGACTCTAGGGTCAAAACCTACCTACCCCTTTAGACTCGATTTTCACTTTGTTCATGTACTTTCAGTTACCACAGAACGAATCGTTGTGGTTGTACAAAAGCTTTGTCCTTTATAACTATGAAATTTAGTACGAAAGTAACTCTTAAAATGGGTGGAATAAATAACTTGGAATTCAGTGCAAACTTCACAGGGAAAATACTAAAGAAAACGGGTTTTCTTTACGCTATTAATATTTTTTGACTGAAAATTCTGGAATTGTTTTGGAAACTCTTATCAAATGACGGTGTTGAGCGAATTTGACGGTATTTTGTGATTGGAAATTCACAATTGATGGGTAAATTAAGGGAGACAGTACATTTTAGTTCAAATATTCCATAAAAATTCACAGAAATGAAGAATATTCTTTAGCGATTAAAATTTTTTAGCCGAAAATTACGGTACAATTCTTGGAAATTTTTATGAAATGACGGTTTTACTGGAATTTGAAGGAATTTTGTCATTGGAAATTCACAATTGATGGAAAAATTAATGTAAATGATTAATTTTAGTTTAAATATTCCGTAAAAGTCAATCCAAATCAACAATATTTATGTTTTGATTAATTATGTCAGAATTGCTTTAAATGTTTTAACAATCCGGGGATTACGACCGAAAGTTCAAGTAAGTTGGGAAATTTGTGTCTTCTTGTTATTCATACAATTGGAATTCCATCGAATTGTTCAGGGAAATTCAATGAAGCACTGTTAAACATTTTCCCTTGAAATTTCCGGTAAGCGTCTTGGAAATTTCTAACAAGTAACATAATTTCATGAAAAAATCCAAGAGAACTGAAAATTTCTATTTAATTATTCGGAGAAAACGAATCTAAAATCAGGAAAATTCAGGCAATCTCTCCTTGAATTCCAGATTGCTCTGAATTTCCACCGAATGGTTTCAAAATTTCTGGGATTCCAAGAATTTTAAAGGAATTCCCTGAAAATTCATGTAATTTCTCGAATTTCCGTTTTCCTGCCGCTAAAAAATTAGGACTTTATGCAAATTTTCAGAGAAACTCGAAATTCCATTGACTTTCTTCCCTTAAATTCACGGTCTTTTCCTGAAAAATTCAGGTAAATTTTTTCAATAATGTGTATAGAGTTCATGAATTAATTTTCCGTCAACACCCACCCCAATTAATCCAAATAAAATGAATAGTTTCGAGTCTCTGTTCCTGCCAGTTTAAAAAACCCAGCAACATCATATTTCCAAATGAATTTAATCGAAAGTAAATGCTCGCCGGTGCAGGCTGATGGTTCAAGGCGACTCCATAATAACCAAGAGAGAATGGAACGAGATAGGCAGTTACTGAGGGTAGTTGGGAATGGCACTACATACGGAAGTGGTTCGCATCGTTGGCAATTCGTCCATCGGCCACGTGATCCGATCATCTACGGCCCCTGATCCTCAAAGCAACGTTAATTCGATTAGTCACGCTGCGCGTTCATCAACCACTAACCACTGTATATTGCCGCAGTGTAACCGATATATACATTATCCCTAGCACTTTCCAGAGACCCTCTTCCCGTGACCCGATGAGACAATGCAAAATTTCTCGATCAAATAAACACTGAGATTTCAATTATGAGTGATAGAAAATTTTGCGGGTGGAGTCTGGGGAAAAGTGAGAATTTCTTGAGACGCATTCGGATGAATCTGAGAGCTGCAGCGCCGGCTCTCTGCAGCCACCTGAGGCCCCGCCCCAACGTGGAGGCACCACCCTCCGGGCTATCATCTCCTAGAACCTCCTAGGAGACTCGGGAAATTAAAAAAATGAGACTGCGGGACTACGCCCACTCGCGAGGAGGAAAACAATAGATCGACGCAGATAGACTCCAAGATTTTGCTCTTATTTTTTTGGGAGGATTGAGGGCATCCATCGAGTGAGGGTTGGGTTAATCCTAGCATTGATTCTGTTTTTTTGTGAGATAATGAAGAATAGGATGTCAAAAATTTTTGGATAAAAATTTCGGGATAATTAAGGACTTTTTTTTATTTTTATTTTGCTATTAATTTAAGGAATTTTTACATTGAGAATTTACATTTTTCAGTGTCAGTTCCATTATTTCATGGAAAAAATGAGACAGTGGATGTAGGCCTAATAGGTCGAGGCAGCTAGTCTCCAAGGTTATCCTTATCTCGCCCTATTTTTGGGGAGGGGGGTGAGGACATTCATTGGGGAAGGGTTGTGCTGATCCTAGCATTGATTATGCTCCATATTTTTTGTGTGAGATGATAAACAAAAGGATGTCAAAAAGTTTTGAATGAAACTTTGCATATAATTCTTGGTAATGAATAATAGCAATAATATCAATTCTTGGAAATTTTTATTGGGTGAAGGTTTCTCTGAAATTTCAAGGAATTTTGACATTGAGAATTGCCATTTTTCAATGTCAGTTATATTATTTCATGGAAATGATTGTAAATCAGGGAAATTCAGATGAATATGTTCTTAACTTTGGAATTATTCAAATTTCAATTACATGAATTCATTTTTTAATTGAAATTCAAGTATATTGGAAAATTTTTATCTCCCTGATGTTAAAAAATTTGCAATTCCATTGAATTTTTTTATCTTTCAATCGTTTTATACATCTTTCTCACAGAATAGACTTTCTATTTTATTCACAAGTATTTAACGTTTTCCAACGGTTCAAATCAAGCGTCAGACTTTCACAGTTAGAACACTAAAATAATTACAAAATACTCGTTGACCTAAGCTTTGATATCCCACTGAAAATATAAAAATTTCATTCTAATTTGGCAGAAAGACATGTGATTGACTGAATTTCATGAATATCATGCACACTACCGAAGCAAAATACAAAAAACTGTTTTCCTCATTCGGCATGAAATTCGTCAA